AAGTCACTACTTAGACCGAGCGTGGAAAAACAAATCGAGGCCGTTTCTGGGTGGTAATATAAAAACTGAATTACTTGTTCGCTGTATTATTTAACCAACTAACTTCAAGCATTTCTCTCTGCCGCCTTCGTTCCTGTTCTCTAGCGTCTTGCTGCATAGCAACATCTGCCATATGTCGCTCCAAAATGGCTTCCTTCTCAGACTCGGATAAACCTGCAACCATCGAAATAAAGCAACTTCAGTCGAACCCGTATATAACGGCCCTGTATTAACAGGCCACCCACTATTATACGGCCAAGTCTCGAGGGTGCCCGTTATAATACAGGTCAGACTGTATATATCAGCGCGTCTACATTTGAAACAACTTTTAACAAGAAGGGTTCAAAATCTAACAATGTACCCATGCAAAACTTTCGAATTCCTTTCAGGTCTGATTACAAAGACTTCCCAGTTTCCTAAATACTGTACAATAAAAAAAAAAAACTCTTAAAAATTGCAAGACAATAGGAAGCAGAAAGATAGTACAAAGTATGTATATCAGGGAAGTACGCCAGGACCCAGAATCTTCGTTGCCCTTGACAGGCGGCCTAGGAACGAGTGACCTTGAATGCTCTATTGAATGCTCCGAAAACATAGCACTTCCGGTTGAATTGCGCATGCCTCGCAAACGAACACACGTAGCAATCGAGTCGCTTGAGTCTTACTTCCGCTCATTTTAATTGCTTTAAAACCAATCAAAATCAAGCCAGTAACCGAGCTCTCCAGAGTCGCTAGTCAAGCTTGCACAGTAAGGGGCGAAGACTCCAAGGAAGAGATTGGGAAGCACACGCGTTCGAATTAACGAAGGCGTCATCATCTACTGTGACGCACTAGAACACTTCGAGCCGATCAAACAAATCAAGATTCTGGTGTATGGCGCTGATTATCCTAACGCCCCAGAAGAACTGAAAACATGCAAGTGACAATGGGTAGGTAATCCCAAAAGCGAACAATTGTTCAATGATTTAAAAGAAAAACCATCATGGTTACCTTTGTTCACTAGTTCTTGATACATTTTCTGGACATTGTTCTTAATCATCTGGTGCCCTTCGCGCAACTGTTGATCTCTGAGAGTTTCAATTTCCTCGGCAGCCTACGGGAGAATTGAATTATTTTATTTTGTTCACATCTACTAATAAGAGTGCGACTTCCAACAATCAGAGTCAGACAATAACTTGTCCTCGTTATTAGTTATCAGCGCCTACAATTCAAGGAATTCGTAATTTACTTCGAATCTGTTCAGTGAATGCTGATGGTGAAAAACCAAAAGACATTTCGAGGTTAAATTTATGATTCTTGTCTGTTGTTTCATTCTTGTACAGTTTTTTCATTATCCGTTCTTCTCTAAAAAGCAATCTAATTTTTCTCCTTCATTTCAAAGTCTCTTCCTGAGCTTTCAGAGTTGCATACATTTATCGTGACTAAATAAGAAACACATTCTGGTCCTTGCCCTATATTCGTCTGTGACATCTCCGGGGCAGAAACGATACGCAAACGTTACTGATCAAAGCTCACCTCTCTGTCTGAATTCCTTTCTATTTCTTCGATTTCTTGCCGCTGTTTTTGCAACATTTTCTGCTTTTCACTTATCGCGGCCACAGTGTCTAAAGGGAAACAGAGTATCTGACAGGTCTCAAACAACACATTACATTTATAAGAACAAACTTATATTCAGTTATGTTTCGTTATTCATTTATTTATTTTCATTCTGCGACAAGAGAAACTAAGAGTAGTAGAGTAACTAAGTCGTTGCTATCGAGAGACCGTACCTTTCTCGTTGTGAAATTGCTTCAAAATTCAGTGATGATCAAGTTTTGGTGGCGAAGATTTTATAATACTATCGTTTACGCAAGAGATGATAATTAAAAGGTCGGTAGGCTCTCATAAGTAAAAGGTTCTCCCTTGCAAGAGTTCCGTAACATGGTAAACGACTTGATGCGTTACTATCCGAATTCTGATGATCATGTTAAGAAAACATTATTCAGCATTCACATAGAGCGATTTGAAATTGATTGTCGAAAGTAATCAGGTAATTACTTTGGTTTTGGTTTTGGTTTTGGTTTTACTACGGTTTGAGAATTGCGCAAGTAGTCTGATATTGGTAAGCTGCCCCTACGTCTCCGAGGATGGGAAGTAACTGGTTTGGTTTTGATTTTACGACACTCAGTTGAAAACCGCTCTAAAAACAAAACAAACACACAAACAAACGATGAAAGCAAGGGAAGGAAAAAGTGGAAGTCGTGGAGAACAAACGGTAATGGTGACAGACTGAGAATGTAGATGTACCTCCAACGAGAAGTTCCTGCTTACCGATTTCTACTTGTTCAAATTTCTCATCTTGTTGATCTTCAAACTCCTTCATCTGCCGTTGATGCTCGCGCGCCTGAAAACCAGTTAAACTAGTTTAGCGAGATAACAGGAGAAGCTATGAACACAACTTAAGAAAATCTTGCTTTGGCAGAAAAAAGATGGTTAGCAAAATTAGTCAGACCAAAGTAAGTTTTGAGCACTCTTCGACCTTGGAAAAAATCCCGCCGTTTTACACCTTAAAATTGGGAATTGTTAATTCTTGTGCGAATGTAAGATATAGTACCTTTTCCTCGATTCTCTTTTGCTTCAGTGCCGTCAGTTTCTGGTGTAATTTCTGTTCCTGTCGCTTTCTGTCCTTTGCAAGCTTATTATCCACAACTTCCACTTCTTTCCTGAAGCGTTCAAGGTAGACGGCGGCATCTTCGGAGTTAAGATTGGATGATCTAAAGATGCACA